CCGTGTCGTCTGCTTCGTGTTAATTGGTGATTCCAACACCAAACCCGTGTCGTCGGCGTCGTATAATCTTATGATTCCAACATGAAACCCGTGTCGTCGGCGTCGTATAATCTTATGATTCCAACATCAAACCCATGTCGTCGGCGTCGTGTTAATTGGTGATTCCAACAAGAAACCCATGTCGTCGGCGTCGTATAATCTTATGATTCCAACACCAAACCCATGTCATCGGCGTCGTGTAAATTGGTGATTTCAACATCAAACCTGTGTCGTTGGCGTCGTATAATCTTATGATTCCAACACCAAACCCGTGTCGTCGGCGTCGTGTTAATTGGTGATTCCAACATCAAACCTCTGTCGTTGGCGTCGTATAATCTTATGATTCCAACACCAAACCCTTGTCGTCGGCGTCGTGTTAATTGGTGATTCCAACATCAAACCTGTGTCGTTGGCGTCGTATAATCTTATGATTCCAACACCAAACCCGTGTCGTCGGCGTCGTGTTAATTGGTGATTCCAACATCAAACCTGTGTCGTTGGCGTCGTATAATCTTATGATTCCAACACCAAACCCGTGTCGTCAGCGTCGTATAACCCAACGATTCAAACACCAAACCCGTGTCGTCGGCGTCGCGTTAATTGGTGATTCCAACATCAAACCTGTGTCGTTGGCGTCGTATAATCTTATGATTCCAACACCAAACCTGTGTCGTCGGCGTCGTGTTAATTGGTGATTCCAACATCAAACCTGTGTCGTTGGCGTCGTATAATCTTATGATTCCAACATGAAACCCGTGTCGTCGGCGTCGTATAATCTTATGATTCCAACATCAAACCCATGTCGTCGGCGTCGTGTTAATTGGTGATTCCAACAAGAAACCCATGTCGTCGGCGTCGTATAATCTTATGATTCCAACACCAAACCCATGTCATCGGCGTCGTGTAAATTGGTGATTTCAACATCAAACCTGTGTCGTTGGCGTCGTATAATCTTATGATTCCAACACCAAACCCGTGTCGTCGGCGTCGTGTTAATTGGTGATTCCAACATCAAACCTCTGTCGTTGGCGTCGTATAATCTTATGATTCCAACACCAAACCCTTGTCGTCGGCGTCGTGTTAATTGGTGATTCCAACATCAAACCTGTGTCGTTGGCGTCGTATAATCTTATGATTCCAACACCAAACCCGTGTCGTCGGCGTCGTGTTAATTGGTGATTCCAACATCAAACCTGTGTCGTTGGCGTCGTATAATCTTATGATTCCAACACCAAACCCGTGTCGTCAGCGTCGTATAACCCAACGATTCAAACACCAAACCCGTGTCGTCGGCGTCGCGTTAATTGGTGATTCCAACATCAAACCTGTGTCGTTGGCGTCGTATAATCTTATGATTCCAACACCAAACCTGTGTCGTCGGCGTCGTGTTAATTGGTGATTCCAACATCAAACCTGTGTCGTTGGCGTCGTATAATCTTATGATTCCAACATGAAACCCGTGTCGTCGGCGTCGTATAATCTTATAATTCCAACATCAAACCCGTGTCGTCTGCTTCGTGTTAATTGGTGATTCCAACATGAAACCCATGTCGTTGGCGTCGTATAAACTTATGATTCCAACAACAAACCCGTGTCGTCTGCTTCGTGTTAATTGGTGATTCCAACACCAAACCCGTGTCGTCGGCGTCGTGTTAATTGGTGATTCCAACATCAAACCTGTGTCGTTGGCGTCGTATAATCTTATGATTCCAACACCAAACCCGTGTCGTCGGCGTCGTGTTAATTGGTGATTCCAACATCAAACCTGTGTCGTTGGCGTCGTATAATCTTATGATTCCAACACCAAACCCGTGTCGTCGGCGTCGTGTTAATTGGTGATTCCAACATCAAACCTGTGTCGTTGGCGTCGTATAATCTTATGATTCCAACACCAAACCCGTGTCGTCGGCGTCGTGTTAATTGGTGATTCCAACATCAAACCTGTGTCGTTGGCGTCGTATAATCTTATGATTCCAACACCAAACCCGTGTCGTCAGCGTCGTATAACCCAACGATTCAAACACCAAACCCGTGTCGTCGGCGTCGTATAACCTTTTCATTCCAACATCAAACCCGTGTCGTCGGCGTCGTATAACCTTATCATTCCAACATCAAACCCGTGTCGTCGGCGTCGTATAACCCAACGATTCAAACACCAAACCCGTGTCGTCGGCGTCGTATAACCTTATGATCCAACGCCAAACCCGTGTCGTCGGCGTCGTATAACCTTATGATTCAAACACCAAACCCGTGTCGTCGGCGTCGTATAACCCAACGATTCAAACACCAAACCCGTGTCGTCGGCGTCGTATAATCTTATGATTCAAACACCAAACCCGTGTCGTCGGCGTCGTATAACCTTATGATCCAACATCAAACCCGTGTCGTCGGCGTCGTATAACCTTATCATTCCAACACCAAACCCGTGTCGTCGGCGTCGTATAACCCAACGATTCAAACACCAAACCCGTGTCGTCGGCGTCGTATAACCTTATCATTCCAACATCAAACCCGTGTCGTCGGCGTCGTATAACCTAACGATTCAAACACCAAACCCGTGTCGTCGGCGTCGTATAACCTTATCATTCCAACACCAAACCCGTGTCGTCGGCGTCGTATAACCTTATCATTCCAACATCAAACCCGTGTCGTCGGCGTCGTATAAACTAACGATTCAAACACCAAATTCGTGTCGTCGGCGTCGTATAATCTTATGATTCCAACACCAAACCCGTGTCGTCGGCGTCGTATAATCTTATGATTCCAACACCAAACCCGTGTCGTCGGCGTCGTATAATCTTATGATTCCAACACCAAACCCGTGTCGTCGGCGTCGTATAATCTTATGATTCCAACACCAAACCCGTGTCGTCGGCGTCGTATAATCTTATGATTCCAACACCAAACCCGTGTCGTCGGCGTCGTATAACCTTATCATTCCAACACCAAACCCGTGTCGTCGGCGTCGTATAATCTTATCATTCCAACACCAAACCTGTGTCGTCGGCGTCGTATAATCTTATGATTCCAACACCAAACCCGTGTCGTCGGCGTCGTATAATCTTATGATTCCAACACCAAACCCGTGTCGTCGGCGTCGTATAATCTTATGATTCCAACACCAAACCCGTGTCGTCGGCGTCGTATAACCTTATGATTCCAACATCAAACCCGTGTCGTCGGCGTCGTATAATCTTATGATTCCAACACCAAACCCGTGTCGTCGGCGTCGTATAATCTTATCATTCCAACACCAAACCCGTGTCGTCGGCGTCGTATAATCTTATCATTCCAACACCAAACCCGTGTCGTCGGCGTCGTATAATCTTATCATTCCAACACCAAACCCGTGTCGTCGGCGTCGTATAATCTTATGATTCCAACACCAAACCCGTGTCGTCGGCGTCGTATAACCTTATCATTCCAACATCAAACCTGTGTCGTCGGCGTCGTATAACCCAACGATTCAAACACCAAACCCGTGTCGTCGGCGTCGTATAATCTTATGATTCCAACACCAAACCCGTGTCGTCGGCGTCGTATAATCTTATGATTCCAACACCAAACCCGTGTCGTCGGCGTCGTAAAACTTACTATTCCAACACCAACATGTGTAATTGGTGTTGTATTAAATTATGTTCCCATAGCAAATCATAAAATCGGTATAAGTGTTTGGTGTCGTTTACGTTAAACTTTATGTGAAAACCGACATTTAACTGTTTTGTAACGCAGAATTTATAAATGTTTCTAGTGAATAAATAAACAGAATAATGTCATCTTATGACCGAGCGAACGATTTTTGGAATGGAGCGACACGCGTCGACATATGATCTAGACATTTATTGCACCAGTTTATAGTAGTATATGCAGATATACCGCCAGGACGCAGAGTTTCACAAAGTGTCGTCTAAGCTTAAAATAGATTTGAAATGTTTTAAAACACTGACGCAATGTCTTGATATATCGGCTTTAGAATAATCTTGTGCCATCGAAACTAACACGCATCGACTGTTATATACATGGACGGAATCTAATTTTTTTTGTTTTTTGCAGCATTCTTCCAATTAATCACCCGGGATCATTGCCACTTTTACACAGAACTGTGCAGCACGTAGGAATTTATTAATTTCATAAAAAAACATATATGTTTAATCAAACTATTAAAGTTCTCTTAATATTACAACAGACAAATGGCCAGCATTATATCAACACTGATTTTAAATAAATCACTTATTGTTGAAAAATATAATGACATGTAATAAATAAAATACACCAAACAAGTCATAGCACACTGACCCAAAATAGTGTATTAAAGACGGTAGGGGGTTTTATAACAGAGTCGTCGCGATGACACGCTAGGATTTAAGTAGCATTAACTTAAAGTGATATCTGTGTTCTGTAGGTATATACGTCACTATTAGGATAACCAGATTTTTTTATATCGGATTGTTTATGGTAGGCTTTGTGATCTAATGCACAAAAGATCAATTAGGCGGTCGTGTCTATCGTAACTCTGGGATACCCAGCGTATCAAGTCACCCAAGTCCATCGAATCACAACGGTAATCATAAGATCTTATTTGATTATATATACAGACCCATCTAAGGGCTCGGTTGGAATGTTTAAACACCGAGAGACAAAGGTCGTCACTAGGAGCCATTGTAGGCAAGGCAGAGGAAATACATTGAAATTGTTTCAGTTTTAATTTCTGTAACGGACCACATTCAAACGGAGACAGTGACATCCAGTGATATAGGGTGGTTGCGTGTGTTTTTTTGGGATCAAACTAGGCACGCTTTACCTTTAGTGATAATAACCTAAACGAACCGTATTTATTTTCAATCGTGTACCGGTGAAAATTGGATTTTAATTGCAAGTGCCAGGTTTAAGTATTACACTAATCATACCCTGACAAAAGGGCTTAATTTGGTCTTTAGAAAGTTAGTCCATAAAAAGCCACGATGAGTACGAGCACTAGTAGTAAGAAACAGGACAGGAAAGGGGACGGAGCGGGCCGGAAGCTGAGCACTCTTCCTCCATCAGATGCTGCCACCCGGAAGTCCTCTTTAGAACCCCCAGCACCAGAAAATTTGGCCGTTCGGAGACCGTCTATTGACAATAGGAAAATGTCAATTGTAGATTCCATCCCCGGACGTTCAACGCTAATTATAACGTCAGCACATACACAACGCCCGAACGTCAAGTATGAAAATACTTACAAAACGGAACCGGACAAAAAGGTCCGAAGTGACCTTTTACGAGACTGTATAAAGGATTTGTTTGAGAAAGAGCTGGACGATAAGACATATAACAAAGAAGAGTGTAGTAATATGTCAAAAAGTCTAGCAGACAGGTTAAAACAGCGCGTGAAAATGCTAGGCTTCTCACGATATAAGATCATCACTGTTGTCTGTATCGGACAACGAGAGGAGTTCAATCCGTCTGTGGCCTTCACGAGCAGGTGCATGTGGAGTGCACAATTTGACACTTTCTCACAGCACGTGTACAAGAACACGTCATTGTACGCTCTCGGCTTGGTGTATGCTATGTACGCAGAATGATGGATAACAAACGTATTAGATTCGATGCTTAGTTTGAATGTGTGACACATAAAACTGTTGAAAATCTAGTGCCAATATCAAGATCATTTCTTATTTATATCATAAAGGAGGACTTCCGCTTCCATGTTTGACTAAACCGGAAGTGCACGACGCCGGAGTACGCAGCCGTTTTGTGTGGCACATTTCATAATGTGGAATATATCTTACTGTTCATGGATTCCTGGGAAATTTTAAATCCTGTGTTTAATTGTAAAACATCTTGATTTTTTATTACAAAAAATGGCATTTCAGTCATAACATCCTTCAGAAAATGAAAACAGCACGTGTAATGTGTATTTCTAAACAAGCAAAAACATCGCGTTACTTTGACGCAAGTAAAACTGTTAAACAAGTTTTACACTATCCGTGTACACAAACTTGAGTGATATCAAAACCTATCTTACCATTGCATCTCTTACTTAACGATTTAATCTTATATTAATATAAAATAATTATAGTTGATAAAACATGCATTTGTGTTTGTTTGTGAATAGTAGAGATTCACTTCCATATCAGACTTATTTTAACCTCGAGGGATTCTGGTTGGTCTTTTCTCTCACGTTTTTATGCCACTAATAGGAATTCCGTAGTGTTCCTGCAATCAACATAAACACGCAGGTCAGCTCTGTAGAATAGTGATGTTCAAACTTATCTCCACACATAACGGTGCTATCGGAGTTTAAACGGTGCCTCGTGCCCATTATAAGTTAACAACACACTACATACCGATTGCACACCCTGTTGACTCACCTCTTATTGGATTCTGTCATGAGTTGGTTATTTTCTCTCTAAAGATCAGAACATTTAAGAAATGAAAATCAATAGTTTAATTCACAGACATGTATTGCATATATTCATTAAATTGGTCACCACTTATAGTAATTTGAGACAGATGTAGGTATTATGATTACTATACGTACGGTAATGCGTTTCCAGATGAATTGTCCGCAGTAAAAATGTAAAAACCGTAGATATAATTAACGATTCAATGTGTTAGAATGTGAATTAATTACTGTGATGATACACTGGGTCTAATGCATTATAAGTGGTACATTTAGATCTACCGATAATATGTTTAAACCGTCTATAAAACACGTTGGTGACGCCCATTTACGTATCTGAAGGAGATAATGTATTTTATGTATACAGAGGTATTCTGTATGGAAGCTAATAAGATATTACGTATATAAGCTGTCTCGATTATAACATAGGATATGCGTTTTAGATTTTTTTGTTTTATAAAATGTATATTGTATCACTAGATGTTTGTTACTGTACCATGTTTTTTATCAGATATAAAATGAGAATCCTATTAAAATAATAAAAAAAAATCTCCTATCAAGTTTCAATGTAATGTCGCAACACGCTTCGTGTGACGTAAACCCAATACGGTATACGATATTTCACAAAAATTCATGTTTGATATAAACAAGTCTTATATGAAGTGGTAACACTATTTACAGGATGTACAACTTATAAATATTTGATGTATAATATGTAAAGTGTAACACGATGTATAGTGTGTACAATATATAAAGTGTAACACAATATATAGTGTGTACAATATATAAAGTGTAACACGATGTATAGTGTGTACAATATATACAGCGTAACACGATGTATAGCGTGTACAATATATACAGTGTAACACAATGTATAGTGTGTACAATATTTACAGTGTAACACGATGTATAGTGTGTACAATATATAAAGTGTAACACAATGTATAGTTTGTATAATATATACAGTGTAACACAATGTATAGTTTGTACAATATATACAGTGTAACACGATATATAGTGTGTACAATATATAAAGTGTAACACAATGTATAGTGTGTACAATATATACAGTGTAACACGATGTATAGTGTGTACAATATATAAAGTGTAACACAATGTATAGTGTGTACAATATATACAGTGTAACACGATATATAGTGTGTATGATATATAAAGTGTAACACAATGTAAAGTGTGTACAATATATAAAGTGTAACACAATATATAGTGTGTACAATATATACAGTGTAACACAATATATAGTGTGTACAATATATAAAGTGTAACACAATGTATAGTGTGTACAATATATACAGTGTAACACAATGTATAGTGTGTACAATATATACAGTGTAACACAATATATAGTGTGTACAATATATACAGTGTAACACAATATATAGTGTGTACAATATATAAAGTGTAACACAATGTATAGTGTGTACAATATATATAACACAATATATAGTGTGTACAATATACGATATATAGTGTGTACAATATATAAAGTGTAACACAATGTATAGTGTGTATAATATATACAGTGTAACACAATATATAGTGTGTACAATATATAAAGTGTAACACAATATATAGTGTGTACAATATATAAAGTGTAACACAATGTATAGTGTGTACAATATATACAAAATATAGTGTGTACAATATATACAGTGTATCACAATGTATAGTGTGTACAATATATAAAGTGTAACACAATGTAAAGTGTGTACAATATATAAAGTGTAACACAATGTATAGTGTGTATAATATATACAGTGTAACACAATGTATAGTGTGTACAATATATACAGTGTAACACGATATATAGTGTGTATAATATATAAAGTGTAGCACAATGTGTAGTTTGTACAATATGTAAAGTGTAACACGATATATAGTGTGTATAATATATACAGTGTAACACGATGTATAAGTGTACCATGATTTATAATTTGTACAATATATACAAATCTTCTACCAAATTAGATGAATGTTATTGAATCCCCAAGGCATCAATTAGCTTTGATAACTACTGTATAAACATACATGTTACACCACATGTAGTATAACACTTAAGCATGTTTTGATTGGCTGACAGGATGAGCTTTGCCGAAATTAGAATTCGTAATAAGTAGCTTACGACTGCTTTGCTAATAATTTGGAGTTCATTTTTATTTCTATTCCTAATTCTGTTTTGAAGATAACAAATTAATTACAATACCTTCATATACTTCTGAAATTGTCAGATTTAAATATCCATTAGAGGCATTTCACTACAGGTCTTATCAACCAAACTGTTACAGAATAGGTCAATTCAATTTGGGATAGTTTTTTAGAAGTAGAAACAGGTCACACACACTCTGTGAAATATATGGTATTTCTTTCTCTCACGTTGGTTATTTTCCAAACGTAACAAAAAAAACAAGTTAAAACCTTTTTACTGTAACTTTTGAAAAACGGATTAACGAGAGTGAAATATATATCATAAACCACCACCAGTCGTTGTGTTACCTCTATGTATAAAGTGTACATACATATAGCTTTGGCATGATACGTTTGGAACAATATATAAATGTAATGTGTAAAAAAAAACCCGTGTAATTCAAGTGTTAACACTATATATACGACACCATTACAACGAATACAACATATAAATTAAATAGATGTAAAGTGTGTATCATATACAGTGTAGCACGACGTACTGTGTATATTAAATTGAGTGTAATTCGACATGTGGCGTTTACACTATATATCGGACACTTTATGATGTACAACATATACAGTGTAACAGGACATAGTGTGTATATTAAATTGAGTGTAATTCGACATGTGGCGTTTACACTATATATCGGACACTTTATGATGTACAACATATACAGTGTAACACGACATAGTGTGTATTAAATTGAGTGTAATTCGACATGTGGCGTTTACACTATATATCGGACACTTTATGATGTACAACATATACAGTGTAACACGACTTAGTGTGTGTATTAAATTGAGTGTAATTCGACATGTGGCGTTTACACTATATATCGGACACTTTATGATGTACAACATATACAGTGTAACACGATGTATATTGTGTACAATATATACAGTGTTACAAAATGTATTGTATACGAGTGTAATACATTGTCATACAATGTGTTAAGTTTTTCAATGTATATATTGTGTACATATATTGTACAATATTTTACGTTATTGTACAGTATAGTGAACATCGGATTTAGAAGCTTTTCGTAGCCATTAACTTACTGAATACACTGTTTATTACCATTTGTCTATAGATTTATAACAATGTAGAAAATCCCACGGCAAGTGTGCCGGGAATAAACATTGTCTACAGTACGGAGTGTATTTAACAACATCAACTCAACGACATGTTGGTTTAGCTACTCCAAGTTTGTAATTATTCAAAAATACCTTAAGTATAAATCATAAGAGATTTATTCAGTAGTTTGTTTAGCCCCAGTATCTGGTATTATACATACTTCTTATAAAGGCGATCAGACGGAAAGTCAGCGCTAGGTTGGTTTGTCCACGGTACACAGTATTGTTAGGGAGTCACAAATCAAACGATCGAAAAAAAAGGATATTTTTGTCATCATAACTTATTCAAAGCTGTATGGCGCGTTGCTAATTATAATCATGGATCGATGATTTCAGAAAGTTTGATTACATATCTTTTTACAAAAGGGAAAACTGTAAGCGATATTGTAATAAAGACAACGTCAAGCTGACATATTGTTTGTGAAGACCAGTCTACCAAGGCATTGACTTACAAACACAATCAGCCGTAAACTCCGTGTTGTTCTGTAGTTCCGCGAGAAGAATTGTTTTAAGACTAGGTCTGTAAAGGTATTGCTTTGTTACCTTGTCATTGTTAGATTAGAAATGGTTTGGAACCCTATAACAAACCACCAGTCTATACAAGGTGTTACATGTCACACACAAACTTGCCTTTTAACAGTAATGATTTTTTTTTTCTGACGTTAAATATAGTAGACTTCAAACTGAAACGTATGTTTATCGAAAACATAGACATCACAATAAACATTACAAAACCCACCCCTTCCCCCACCACACACACAAAAAAAAAATAAAATAAAATAAAAATAATAAAAATAAAATACAAAAAACGAGTTCAGTTTGTACTGCCTCCAAAGAGTA